GACCGTAGTGTGCGGCCGCCGGACACCTTACATCGGCGTCCGCAACTTCCCCACAAGGTCACTGCTGCCGCCTCTCTGCGCTCTGCTGCCCCGAGGCCGGGCCTCGTTGGCCATGTGGGAAATCTGGGCCTGCCTATCAGTGTGCTTGTTGTCAGCCCATGGAATCATCGACTCCTTGTTCTGACTCTTCCTCCCTCACTCCAGCTCTGCAGCAAAAGGCTGATACCGGGTGAAATTCAGGTACTTGCACTACTTCCATTTACAAATACATTGGATGATGGAACAATGATCGCAGAGCTACAATAATTTGTAACAATGATATCTGCCTGAAGTTCAGGCTTCCCAGCCAATCAGCATGGAGCCGGCGTGCCGGGCAATCAAGGAGGAGCCGGGCAGTGGGTAATGAGACGCTGCCTGGCTTCCTGATTGCCTGAGAAGCGGCTCCATGCTACTGGAAGTAACGGAAATATCATTTCTCGTACTCGATACTGAAAAACTGGTATCTGTGCATCCCTAGATTGTATGTTTTCATGTCCTTTTTTTACCATTTCACCCATCCTGTTTTGTTAATAAAGTTTCAAGATTTCATCCAGTCCGGCTTATTGCAGAATAGGGGGGTTTCACTGCATATCGAGCTATACAGGCCACATGGTAACGTATAGGGGGACAGAACAAAAAGGCTCACTTTACACACCAGGATCAGGATCCCTATTTACAAGGAATGTAATGTAATATCACAGTTTATTAAACGTACAAACCTACAAACCTGGGGAGATGTGTGAGTATTACAGAGATGTACTGAATGTATTGTTATACTTTAACTCACTTACTGTATATTATGTATCTAATCATTAAACTCATTAAGAATATCAGAGCTGCTTTATGAAAACTGGAGCAAAATGTTGCCAAAAGCAACCAATCAGGGCTCATGTCACAAAGGAAACCAAAAATCTGATTGGGTGGGAAGGATGGAGCTTCAGATCACATAAAACATTCCAGAGATTTCGTATATAAAACGTTTACCGTTCCATGGAAATAAAAACAAGAGACGGATTTATAATGAAAACGTTTATTTAGGAAAACCAATATTTACAATGTTTCTATAAAAGGAAATAAACCGGAACAATGACATCAGAGTGAGGAGGGATGAGTGACGTCTCCTCTCTGACACAATCACATCCCCATAGAAACTAGTGAAATCTATTAATATCGCCCCAAATGTGAGTGCGGCCGTGTCATCAGGAGGAGTTCTGGGGGAGGTCTTGCTCCTGCTGTCCCCGATGGTTCTGGTTCTCCGGGTCGGACCCCTGACTGTCTCCTGGGCTCTGCTCTATGGTGATGGGGATGGCTCTCTCTTTGGCAGCGGGCAGTGCCAGGCGAGGTGCCCAGAAGTGGAGTCGCCCGTCCTTGGACATGGAGCACAGCACATCCTCGGGATTGATGTCTTGCGGGAGCTCGGCTTCTCTGCGCCACTCTCTGTATTCCTGGAAGAAGCCGCCGTTCTCCGCCTCCCTTTTCTTGTCGTATTTTCCCGCCACGATCAGTCTCCTTCCTTCCGTCCTCACTGTCAGTTCTTCCGGAGAAAACGGACTCACGTCCAGGGAGAGCTGAAAGTCCTCCTTCCCGTCTTTGCCCTCGGCGGGGGATTTGTCTTGGGGGGTGTCGGGGTGTCCGCTCCTCCTCATTTCCGGGTCATTGTCCAGGAGGCGGTAAGCCTGGTGGAGGCGCTGCATTCTCCTCTCCATGTCGCTGCTCACGCCCAGCATGTCGTCTTCCAGCTGGCGGAGGATGAGGCGTGTGGCGGTCCAGTGGGGGAGCTCGGGCCGGCTGTAGACATACACAGGGCTGTGCGAGGACTGGAGGAGGCTGAGAGGGAACATGTCGCTCTGCTGCTGCTGCTGCTGCTCCTGCTCCTGCTGCTGCTGCTGCTGCTTTTCCTGGAGCTTCTGGTCACCGTTCAGCTGGAGGCCGTCTGCCTGTGTGTCAGCGTCCGATCTCTGCTGCTGCTCCCAGCACGGCTCCTTTTATACTGCCGGAGACACTTCTGGACCCGTCCGGACACTTCCATGTGCTCTCTGTATATGGAGAGAGGGGGAGGAGCCAGGAGGTACACATCTAGAATAATACAGGAGGAGGGGTGGGGTCAGGAACTTCTGAGTGACAGCTGGAAGTCTGTACTGGAGATTGCTGGAGAATTCTTTATGCTTCCAGGACTTTCACCTGACATCATCACCGTCTCCTCTGCAGTTGTATATTTCTGGAAGACATTCCTAACCAAACATTACAGAACTGGAACTTCTTCGCATGTAGTTTTATTTTCTCCTTTCACATGTAAGTGTTATATACGGAATCAGAATATTATAAAGTGTTACATTGTTTCCTGAATGTTGGAGTGTTTTCTGTCTCTTATCTGTAACGATTAATCATTCTATGAGACAAATGTAGATTTTCTCTCACTCAGCCCGGAGATCTGCGACGTTTATCCTGTGCAGATTGTCTATTCCTTGCTCAGGTTTATGTGATGAGAACAGCAGAGCACATTCACCTCTAACGACCAATCACAATTCATCTTTCAGAGTTTTTTAATATTAAAAATTAAAAACAAGAATTATTATTATTACTATGCAGTTCCTCCAGACTGGACATGTTCATTTACCGCAGTGTCTCCTGATATGTTTTATCCCTCAGACCTTTCACCGTTTTTATTGCCCTTCTCCCGACTCATTTTTATTTTTGTTATTTATTTATTACAGGTATTTATAGAGCGCCAACAATATATACGCAGCGCTTTCACATTCACACCAGTCCCTGCCCTCACAGAGCTTACAATCTAAGGTCCCTATATCACATACATACTGTACATACAAAGGACTATTTAGACCGGAGCCAATGAACCTACTTGTTCTATCTCTTCAATGTATTTTTTTAAATGAGTTCTCTAAACCCGGACATAGAGTGGAATTTATCAAAACTGGAGCAGACAAAATCTGGAGCAGCTGTGCACGGCAACCAATCAGCTTCTCTTTGTCATTTTCAAACCTTAACTGAACAAACTAAAGAGAGAAGCTGATTGGTTGCCATAGGCAACGGCTCCAGATTTTGTCTGCTCCAGTTTTGATAAATTCCCCCCATAGTATTGTATAACATGTTATTTTTATAAATAAATATTTTATTCTAATGATATTCTGTGTTTTTATTGGATGATGAAGAACAATAAGTGACGTGAGAAGTGTCAGTGAAATGGTCCGGACTAGAGGACGACGTCACATTAAAGTGGAACTCCGGACAAATCTCATTCCGGATAACAGGGGAAACCTGTGAGGTTTATCAAGTTCATAATTAGGGAGATTTCACCTCAATTCCTTCCCCGGTGTCCCCCATCTCCAGGGGAGGAAGTGAGGGGATACCTATAAGGATCAATCATATGTATACAATGTTCAATATGTGACCTCGTACAGAAGTATGAGAATTGTTACAATGGGGAAAGACACAATAAAATATGAGATGATATAACCGGTCATAATGGCCGCCCATTGATGGTTGTCGGAGGTGTTAGTTCATGAATCAGATCCCCGTAATCCCCCGCTCCCTAATCTTCATAATATCTAGCTGGCAGGGTATGCTTGGATTTGTAGTTGCAGCTGTGGAGCTACAGGATGTGGAGGGTTGTTGTTACAGAACTAGAAGTCCCAGCATGCCTTCACCATCCTCTTGCCTTATATGCAGGATCTGGCTGGCAGAGTATGCTGAGACTTGTAGTTCCATAGCAGTGAGTCGTATTTTAGGTTCATCCCTAACTTATAAAAATTAAACACATTGTCATTTATTTCTACCTGGAGATAATTGTTCATCATTCAGAGATATTATCGCAAAGTTCAGTTTTATTATGTTATTGTCGGCGGAGTTCTTCCATAACATGACATTAAAAGCAAACGGAAAGATCGGGGAGGATTCTAGCTGGTTCTTGGTCCCGCCCACTGGGAGGGTCCTCTGCTAAACCTCAGCATTGCCAGCCCCACCTGCTCCTCCCTCCTCATGTATTATTCATTATGTACATGCAGGCCACTCCCTTCACTAGAGATACACATAGAGCACATGTCTGGAGGGCGGGGCCTGAGTGGCATTGATGTTAACCCTGTAAGGTCTGGAAGACAAGGCTGCAGGGAGTCTGGTGACCGTCTGCTCCGTGTACATTCAGTGACACATAAAGCTCAATTTACACAGATAACACCGCGGGATAAGGATCGGTATGACCCGAAATCTTCTCTATATCAATCATTCTGGGGATACAGCCGGGATAGGCAACCTCGGCTCTCCCCTGATTCCTTTATAGAGATCTTTAGTTAGATCATCTTATTTACTATATTATGTCCGGGTTTAGAGAACTCATTTAAAATTGAAGAGATAGAACAAGTAGGTTCATTGGCTCCGGTCTAAATAGTCCTTTGTATGTACAGTACTCCTCCAGTCCTCGCACAGCCCTGTGTATGTCTACAGCCGGCCCGAGCTCCCCCACTGGACCGCCACACGCCTCATCCTCCGCCAGCTGGAAGACGACATGCTGGGCGTGAGCAGCGACATGGAGAGGAGAATGCAGCGCCTCCACCAGGCTTACCGCCTCCTGGACAATGACCCGGACATGAGGGGGAGCGGACACCCCGACACCCCCCAAGACAAATCCCCCGCCGAGGGCAAAGACGGGAAGGAGGACTTTCAGCTCTCCCTGGACGTGAGTCCGTTTTCTCCGGAAGAACTGACAGTGAGGACGGAAGGAAGGAGACTGATCGTGGCGGGAAAATACGACAAGAAAAGGGAGGCGGAGAACGGCGGCTTCTTCCAGGAATACAGAGAGTGGCGCAGAGAAGCCGAGCTCCCGCAAGACATCAATCCCGAGGATGTGCTGTGCTCCATGTCCAAGGACGGGCGACTCCACTTCTGGGCACCTCGCCTGGCACTGCCCGCTGCCAAAGAGAGAGCCATCCCCATCACCATAGAGCAGAGCCCAGGAGACAGTCAGGGGTCCGACCCGGAGAACCAGAACCATCGGGGACAGCAGGAGCAAGACCTCCCCCAGAACTCCTCCTGATGACACGGCCGCACTCACATTTGGGGCGATATTAATAGATTTCACTAGTTTCTATGGGGATGTGATTGTGTCAGAGAGGAGACGTCACTCATCCCTCCTCACTCTGATGTCATTGTTCCGGTTTATTTCCTTTTATAGAAACATTGTAAATATTGGTTTTCCTAAATAAACGTTTTCATTATAAATCCGTCTCTTGTTTTTATTTCCATGGAACGGTAAACGTTTTATATACGAAATCTCTGGAATGTTTTATGTGATCTGAAGCTCCATCCTTCCCACCCAATCAGGTTTCTGCTTTCCTTTTTGGTAGACATGTGCGATTCCCCCTAATGTCTCCATAAAGAGGACCTGTTGCGCGCACGCAATTTTAAGGCTTGACATGTTTGGTGTCTTTTTACCCGACGTGACCCCGTCTTTTATATTTTACCAAAAAATTGGGTAATAATAAATGTTTTATCAATTAATATAGGGGAAACTGTTTTGTTTTTTTTTTAATTTCGGTAATTTTTCCTTAATATAGTAAAAAAATAAAACCCCCCAGTGGTGAATAAATACCTCCAAAAGAAAGCTCTATCTGTCCCCAAAAAAAGGTATAAAATTCATTTCAGTACATCGCTGCATGACGGAATAAATGTCAAAGTACCGCAGCGCTGAATACTGAAAAATGGCCTGGATGGGAAGGGGGTTTAACACCGCGGATGTCAACTGGTTAAACATATTCAACGCAAAAAAAAAGCATTTGCCTTGAAAGGGTTAAACCCGCCATTCCCTCTATTTTCACTGTTGGAGTTCTGAGATGTTGTGTAATGATCATTGTTTCTTCTGTATCTATTTCTGGTCCCTGTCACTGGCAGAGAAGAGGAATTCTGTTATAATAGCAGAGCCAATAAACATAGGGGTCTATTCACAAAGCTGCCGAAGGATCTGGCGGTAGCTTCGGCCGATCCTTCGGCTAGCTTCGGCACCAGGACCCCTTCGGTTCAGGAGAACCGAGGGGGTGCTTTACGGGCTATTCACAATAGCCCGTACAGCTCCCGATCACGGCCGAGCGGACGATGTACGGCTGATTTCAGCCGATATACGATTGAAATCAGCCGTACCAGCCTGAAGTGAATAGCCAAACAGTGTTCGGCTCACTTCACTTCTGATCGGTCATTCACTCGGCTGCCCTCGGCAGCTTCGTGAATAGACCCCATAGAGCGCGGTTATCTTATGTAAACACGAGCGACTAGTGGCATGTTATGAATGCGTCCTCCTGGTGTACAGTTACAGGAAGCAGTACAATAAGGGTTGTGTCACCTCCAGGAAGACCTCAGTGCTAGAGATGCATCTCTGAGCTTTGTATCTCCCACATAATGGGATGAAAAT